AGCTCTGGAAGCATGCTCTTCCATGGCGGAGCTCAAGCAACACCATTCCAATTTCATCAAACTTGGGCTTTCCGCTGATAATAACGCCATGGGTCGCATCATCAAGTTCTGTGCCGTCTCTGAAGATGGTGACTTGAGCTATGCCCTTAAGGTGTTTGATGCTATGCCTGACCCAGATGCTTTCATTTATAATACTTTAATGAGGGGTCATTTGCAGTGCCAAGATGCTAGAAGGAGCATACTTTTGTATTTGCAGATGTTGGAAGATTCTGTGACGCCTAATAATTTCACTTTTCCGTCTGTCGTAAGAGCTTGTTCTGTGGATAATGCTGTTGAAGTAGGGAAGCAAGTTCATGCCCATGTTTTGAAATTTGGGTTTGGTGCGGATGGGTTTTGTCTGAACAATTTGATACACATGTATGTCAATTTTCTGGCTTTAGAGGAAGCTAGGAGGATCTTTGACAAGATGCTGAGAAAGGATGTTGTTTCTTGGACCACTTTGATCACTGGATACTCTCAATGGGGTCTTGTTGACGTGGCTTTTAAGATTTTTGAGTTGATGCCTGAGAGGAATTCAGTTTCTTGGAATGCCATGATTGCTGCTTATGTGCAGAGCAACCGGTTTCACGAAGCATTTGCTTTGTTTGATAGGATGACAGCGGAAGGGGTTGTGCTGGATAAGTTTGTGGCAGCTAGCATGTTGTCAGCATGTACAGGCTTAGGAGCTCTGGAACAGGGGAAATGGATTCATGAATACCTTGAGAAGAAGGGTATCAAACTGGACTCAAAACTTGCTACAACTATTATTGATATGTACTGTAAATGTGGCTGCTTGGAGAAAGCTTTTGAAGTTTTTAACAGGCTTCCTTACAAGGGAATTTCTTCATGGAATTGTATAATTGGAGGCTTTGCAATGCATGGAAAGGGAGAGACTGCCATCGAGCTATTCAAGGAGATGGAGAAGGAAGGAGCAATTCCTGATAGCATCACTTTTGTGAATGTCCTTAGTGCATGTGCTCATTCAGGATTGGTTGAAGAGGGGCGCCATTACTTCCAGTATATGACTGAAGTTCATGAAAATGAATGCAAAATGGAGCATTATGGATGCATGGTTGATTTACTTGGAAGAGCTGGATTACTAGAGGAAGCAAAAAAGCTAATAGATGAGATGCCTATGAGACCTGATGCAGGTGTACTGGGTGCTCTCCTTGGAGCTTGTAGGATACATGGGAATCTTGAGCTAGGAGAGCAGATAGGGAAAAGAGTAATAGAATTGGAACCCAATAATAGTGGACGCTACGTGTTATTGGCTAATCTGTATGCTAAGGCTGGCAGATGGGAAGATGTAGCTTCTGTGAGGAAATTAATGAATGACAGGAAAGTGAAGAAAGCTCCTGGCTTCTCTGTCATTGAATTGAAAGGTTCTGTTAATGAATTTATCGCTGGAGGAAGGACACACCCTGAAACTAAATTGATATATGCCAAAGTTGATGAGATGCTGGAAACAATAAGATCTGTTGGCTATGTTCCTGACACTGCAGGAGTACTCCATGACCTCAGTGAGGAGGGAAAGGAGAACCCTTTATTCTATCACAATGAGAAACTCGCCATTGCCTATGGCCTATTGAACACCAAACCTGGGGAAACATTTCGCATCACCAAAAATCTTCGAGTCTGTGGAGACTGTCACCAGGCTAGTAAGCTTATCTCAAAGGTTTTTGATCGAGAGATAATTGTTCGAGACAGGAATAGATTTCACCATTTCAGAAATGGAGTGTGTTCCTGTAATGATTACTGGTAAGATATACCAGGAACATAGAAGTAAATTAGTTTATGCATTCACGATAATTTTCTTGATCATCAATAAGGAAGATTGTGCTTAATGTTTTACAGCTTTGCTTTCTTCCCTTTTATTAAATTGGCTTACTTTTTTCAAATGATTTGTTGGAGAAATACTTTTCCTCTTTGGTACTTGTTTATTGAATTCCTTTTTATGTGGAAAAAGAATGATCGTCAAGCCGGCATTTTTTAATGGTTTAAGGTGGAATGTAACCGAGTCAATCCTTTGTTTAGATGACTCAGTGAATTAACTCAACTCATTTGACTATTCTCAACAATTATGATGGAAATAAACTGTTTTTAAATAATAATAAAGGGAAATAAAAATTTTTAGGGTTGAGGACTAATTTTTTATAAATTTTTAATTTCACCTTAAATACTTTATTTTTGAGTTTTGATTAGTGTTTTGTTACACCAAAAATACACTATTGGTTTTATAAGTTTTTTAATATATAATAAATAATTATATTTAATTTTTTTATTGAAAATTTTTTCAATTTTGTGTATCCTAACATATAAAGAGATGGGAGAATTTCTATAAAAAAAAAATGAGACAGTCATCTTCTTCTCACATTGATTTTGTGCTCGGTATGTAGTTATAAAAAAAGGATAATTATAGAATATTTACTTTTTTTTTTTCTCTTTTCTAAAATAATTTTAAAAATAAAT